ATATATATATATATATATATATATATATATATATAATAAAAATAGAAAAAACAAGGAAACAACAAAATATAGAAAAAACAAGGAAAAAATTACAGAACAATGGAAAAAGGGAAAAAGATAAAACTTATAATATGGTTTTATTCTAAATATTAATATATAGAACGAAACTTATTGTTTTTCTTAATTTTCTGCGGTTTTTTTTTCTTTCTATATATAGTTAATAGTACAGTATGTTATAATAGTATTCTATATATCGTATGTTACAAAGTTTGTATCAATTTATTTTGAAAAAACTTTTGATTTTCATTTGCTGATTCTTGTGACGTTGTTTTTACGCCATTGTTTATCGCAGTTTTAGTGGCTATTTTTACATGACATTCTAAAAAACATTGTTTTTCGATGTTTTTTTTCGCACAAAGCATACATAACACAATTCCTTTCTAATTTTTTTTTTCTGTTTCATTATTTGTGTCGTTCGCAAGCATGAGCTCTGAATACTGAGATATTGTTCAAATAACTATATAGGTTTCGAAAAAGGACTGAATATTTCTTGGTTTTATCTTTCTTTGTCTCTTTCAGTAGTACGTTAATTTTTATTGCATATTAAGTAAGCATACAATTATAGAATTTTTTTTCGATTAAAAAAATTTGTTTATTTTTATTTTTAAAATAGCTTTAATTCCATACAAATTTAGCATGAATACTTACCATATATATTATAAGGAGATTTAACTATAATACGGTAATCTTTTTTGCTATATTATAATTGGATTTACGTTTGTATAAATAAACTCGACATACTAATTGTTTAAAAACTGTATCCGCTTTAAAAATATACAAATTGGATGTAACTGTGGACATGTTTTAAGCGCTCAAAACTAGGCACCCGATTTCAAGACTTTCCTGACGCCTACTTTTGAGCTCTGGAAAAATGTCGATTGTTATTTCCAATTTGTTTATTTTTGAAACGAAAGACGTTTTAAATCAGGTTAAACCTTACCGTTTCAGTTTCTTGGGATTATTTATTCAATTAAACTAGATATGTACTTTTATTTAATAATGATTGTTAGTTTTAACTACTCGATATTTAAAAAAAAAAAAAAAAAAATGGTATATCTAAAAAAATTTGAGTAACGTTCGTTAATGACACGAAGTTCAGTAAATTGGTTGCGTGATTATTTCTTTTGGTTTCAACTCAAGTTATATTTTCCTTTTTCAGAATCAAGATATATTTTCCTTTCTACTAATTTAAAACTTAATTTTTATCAGCTCTGAATCTCTGGTGTATGTAAAAGTTAACGAAGTATGTAAAATAAATAAATTTGGTAAATGGTATGAAATCTGGTGTGTGGCAGTTTCTTTTGTATAAACAAACGATTTTCTGCTATATTTTTTTCATAACTCTAAATCAGTGTTTCCCAAACTTATGACTTTTGTGTACCCTTTCTAAATTTTTCGTAACGCTGTGTACCACTAATAAAAAAATGAATATATTTTTCAAAAAAATCTGTTTATTTTTCTTTTTTGGTACAAAGTTTTGTTAATAAGTTTATTTGCATCAGCGATCTATATTCTTTGTTAAGGAAAAAATTATATTTTATAAAAATAATTAAAATAAGTAGAATTTATTTCAAACCTTTACTATAAAAAAATTTCACTGAAGTTAAAAATCACAACTGGCTGTTGACACCACTAATTATTAACTGTTAACTCTGCAAAATATAGCCAATAGAAAAATACGTAATCGTAAATTTTAATGGCTAGCTTTGTTTTTAAATAAAAATTTCGTTTGTTGCAGGATATTTCGCATAAGAACGCTTACCCCCGCTAAACTGTTCCCGTACCCCTGGGGGTACGCGTACCACACTTTGGGAAACACTCCTTTAAATAATCAAGTTCTTAAATTTTATTGATTTTTTAAAAAAAAAAAACTAGTTTATTTTTTAAAAGTTAATGAAATATGGTCATAAAATAAATGGGTGAAATATATGGCAAGAAATTTGGTACTTTGATTGCGTGGCAGTTTCTAGTAATGTCAATGTCCAGTTTATTGGCTAGAAACAGTTACTTTGTCGGGCTGCTCTTTAATCATCAATCACCCACCCCTTTCATCGGATCAATAATCGGCCAATGGTTCAGTATTCGAACAGGTCCCATTTAGAGAAGATCAGGCTCCAATTGGCCCTTCCACGCCTACTATTTTAGCCAATGGTGACTGAACGCCTACTCTACTGAAGACCGGCGTTGGTGACCTACCGCGCGTGGCGATGACGTCATTCGCTCCACTTGTTTGCTATTATTGGCGAGAAAGCGGTTTTCTTCCTTTTCCTCCAAATTCACGCCAGTTTATTCTACGTTGAGTAAATTATTCGTCATGATTGGTTATAATCGGGTTCGAATGTTTTGGAACAATGTTTATTTCGCAGAATGAATAAATTAAATTAAATATTATTTTTTCGATAATCACATTTATTCGTTAATTACAGATTAATTGTTGGAAAATAAGTAAATTGTTGAATTGAAATCAAATGTAAGATTTATTTTGAACTTGTTTGTACAATAATTTAACGGTTAGATTGTTATTTTACTTTATCAAAAAAAAAAAAACTNAAAAAAAAAAAAAAAAAAAAACTATTCTTTATATTTCAATATATCAAGTTTATAATTGTTTATATAAATGTGTAAGAAAATATATATTCTTTTCGAAATTGTTTTTAAAAATTATTTTTTATTAACTATAATAATATATTGATTGGAAAATCAATTTGAATGAAATTATTTATATTTAATAATTTATCTGATGAAAATAATTTTTTATAAAAAAGGAAATAATTTAAATTTTAGTGGTTAGTCACTTTCTTATTAAATTTTGTTATTTTACTGCAATATCGGAAATGTTCGATATTTTATTAAAATACAATTCTTAATACTATTCTATTAAATAAACATCTTGTTAAAATTGAATATAAAAAACTCAGATTATTATCAATTTTGACTTTCATATTTCTAAAAAAAATGATATCTACAATCCAAATCACTGATTGGTGAAATTTTTAAAAGTTCCAAACGTTCGCCAAACGAAGCGCTTTTAAGCCAAATGTTGGCGTACTTCCAGTAACCTATGGCGTGTGTTGAATCCCCGTGAGGTCGCCGGGAACGACCCGACCGTCGCGGTGATTCCGGACCGTCTCTAGTTGGAAGCCAAGAGTAGCGACATAAACATCACTCCCGTGGCATGTGTTGGTGAAAACTCGCCGGAATTGCTCGCTCCGCGTGTTCCGCATGAACTCGATTCTCCGTTGCCAATATTCTTTTGACAAAATCAACCAAAAACTATAAAGGATTTTTCATCTCCAAAATAATTTCGATCTGAATTGTGTTTGTTGACGAATTTTGGAGAATTATTGTGGCGTGGCAGAGGAACGATAGCTGATTTCACCGTTGAGTGATAGGTGTGCGGTGTGATGAGGTGTGAGTCCGCCAGAGGGCGTTGCTCGACAGTGCTTCAATGAAACTGTCAGTCAAATTGCGACCGACTGCTGAAGGTCGATCATCCGAAATTTTGCCGCTCGTTTTCCCACCTTCGCTGCTTTTGTTGCCGTTTCAGCGAGAAAAATGTTACTCAGTAGGTAAGCTGATAATATTTCTCAATTCCAAACTATGCTATTCTTTATTTGTTTAATATCGTTTTCAACTTTTAAGAAGGCTTGATTGGTTGTTTTACAATGTAAACAAATGAATTAGCGTATGTTTTGAGGGTTGAGAAAGAGGTTTTAATGTTTATATTTTAAAAAATATTATATTTATGGCAGTTTTTTATGCATTTATTTTGAAAATTTAATAAATTATTAAATACAGATATTATATAAGTGTATTTTTCGATGATTATTGAATTGTTAAGGATTACTTTCAATGAATATTAAACTAATTATGGATATAAATTTTCAATATGCATCGAAGTTATTTTTTTAGATATCTTTATTCAAAAGCCGACGAAATAATTTCATATACATTTAAAAATGTAATTTTTAAAAAATAGTCGATGTGTTTATCTCTGAGAACGATATTGTGAAAGATTATCTTCGATTTGAAGTTTTCTTGTTTTAATCTTCGATTTAAAGTTTGAAATGATCTAACAAGACTAAATTTAATAAAAGAAATGTTTTTAATACCCTAGTGCTAATCTCTGAAATCATGAACAATCTTTTAAGGTGTAAGTTCGTATTGTTGTTTTTTATTCGAATAATATGACATGATTCTGAAATTGGTATTGAATTTGTATCGATTACGTAATCTGTATAGTTTTTCTAACAAAATATTGACATTGATTAATGTTCATAATTATGAAATGGAAGAGCGGATTGCAAAACGGATTTTGTTCAGAGTTTATTTCCCCAGATATGTGTTTGTTGAGAATCAGGTATGAATTTGTCTAAAAGATGTGAGCATTGCTCGTAAAAAGGAAATATAAGTATTGATATTTGCATAAGTTATTGTTATAAGTTATAAGCTATTGCAAGTTTGAGGCATTTCATAAATTCAAATCACAAAATATTTCTAGTTCCTTTTTAGGAACATCTTTTTTAGGTAAGCATGCAGGATGTAGTTTATGTTTGGCGTAGTTCAGCCGATTTCGGCTCTTGTTATTATTAAACTCTGTATAGCATTAGCTGTAAGCAGCAAATAATGACTCGTTCCTTCTAATTCTTATGATATTGTTAGTAATACTAATGTTATTCTAATTCCTCCTTTACCTATATCCAAAGAACTTACCTGAATTTACCTGGGGGAAAAAAACTTTATTTTTTAATGAATCTGAAGCCATTTTTTCAGTTCAGTTTCTTTTAATCGAAATATTTTTTTTTAGAAAAAAGACACATTTATTAATTTATTTGTAGGTTGTTATAAGTCAAAGAGTAATGCATTTTTCGGCTCTGATATGGAAAAATCTTGCAACAAATCTGTAAAATTACCTATTTCAAAATATGTGGTAATAATAAGTAGATATTAAGGCTCTATCTATTTTTTTTATTTGATGTAAAAATCTACTGTAGCGTTGTTAAATGTTTTTACTGTTCGTATTTACGCGTAAGGGAATACTTTTTATTTAACGATCTATTTCAAATTTTTTCTTAAATATCACATTTGCAGTTCAATAAATTCAAAAAATTTCAGTTCGAAAATTTTTTGTGTAAATCAAAAATTTGATCATTAATCATTTGTAAAGTAAATAATGACAGAAGTAACACTCTAATAATAAATTATTTTTCATTAAGATTTTAATTTTTTTCTTCTTTCGTTTTTGTATTAAATATTGCTTTTATCTATAATTTAATGTGTATTAAAAAATCTTCATGTTGAAGCAATGCCTAGTTCTGAATTTAATATTTGGTATATTAAATTCCTTCCTGGGTAGCATGAAGTAGAATTTTATTTCTAGCATTCAATACTGACCTGTGTAATTATTGTGTTAGGTATTGATTGAGTTTTCCGCTACTAAGTGTTTCTGCTTTCTTCCTTGTGAGTAGGACAGGCTTTGGCTACTTCAACTACACCCAATTCACAACTTTATTCTTTGATTTTATTTCTGCGAAATATATTCTAAGATATTCTTTTTTTTTTGAATAATTGTTTATGATCCTTTTGAATAAAGTTAATTGAATACTTTTTTATGATTATTTGAGATATAATTATGATAATATTTTATGATTATTTGAAATATAATTATGATTATTTTAAATATAATTATGATTATATTTTATGATTATTTGAAATATTTTTTTTCTTCTTTTTACTTAAATTGAAAGATCATTTTCAAACTATTTCATTTCGATTTTGTAGTTTATCCCCTAAAGAAGTTGGCATCTTTTATGTAAACACAGATTCCGATGTATCTGGGCGATTTTTTTCTTTATCTTTTTAAGTCAAATTTAGATTTTTCACTCTTTGATTAGTCTGTGAAGAAAAATATAGTTTATGTTACGAGTTGCATTACCGATTCCGTCTCTTTCTCCTTTAAACACGTTAACATGATTTCATAATTATCGCATAAGTGTTCATTTTTAACCCTTTGACGCAGATGGAAAATTAATTTTTTTTTTTCCTGACTCTCTAATTACAAGCTGAAATATGTTCAGTAATTTTTTCAATGTGAAAAACAGTTACTAAAAAAAATCTATTAGTGTATTGGATTTATCTTTGTACTAAAATATCCGAAACAAGGTAGTTTGAAAGAATTTTTTGTTCGTCGTTCATATTGAAAAAAATTTTTTTTTTGAAAAATTATTGCAAAAAAAAGACACCGGTGTTTCATGCTGTATTTCGTAACCATCAATTATTAAAATGCTTAATATAATATTTTTTACTTATTTTTACCACAGTAATTAAAAAAAAGTATGAAAAAATACGTTGAATAAAAACTATGCATCAAAGAGTTGATTTTAATCTTGTTACACTTTTAATTGGCTCTTTTTTATTTTATATATTTATTTATTTTTTATACAATGTTAGCTGACAAAGAGCTAAGGCATGATGCTCGTGTCTCAGTTACTGTTTTTCAAATTCAACTGATATTTGCTAGTTTTTCTAACTTGGAAATACTTGTTAAAAAATCTTAAATTTTTTCGTGTAATAACTTCCAGATAAATTGCTTGATTGTGCAATTAGACTATTATATATTTAATTTTATCTGGTCTTGTACTCAAAATGTTTAAAATATTGTAACTATTTCCTCCATAACTAAATAATAATCTCCCTAATTTGAACAAAACAATGCTGTACTTTAATAAGTGTTAGTAAACTAACAGAGAAATTGATAATAATTCAACATAATTTTTTAAAAATGTTAATATACACGTATACAAGTTCTGTTTGAAGAAAAATACGTTAAAAACGTTCTCTGATTCAGATAATTCATTTTTGATAATTCCCTGATAGCTGAGATGACCACTTGTTTTAACTGGAAAGTAACCCCCCCCCCCCATGGTGGTGGACATTTCCTGGGAAGAGAAGATAAAGTTTTAAACAAGAAAAATATGTTTTACTGTTCCCCTTGATAAGGAGTTTACATTAAAAAATTGTGAATGTATTACCTATTGAATACATACTGGAGGATCCCACACAGATTTCCATATGACAGTGCTTAATTGGCAGTGTGAAATATTCCATTTTCACTATACCATAAATAGGCGGTAACATTCCATCTTTCACTATACCATAATAGGCGGTAACATCAAAAGAAACGGTAGTTTTACTAATATCTTTGGAATTTATGCCTTATTGACTCAGGGGATTAATGGGGGCTTGGTAATTTTCAAAAAGGTACATAGTTTCAGACCTTTTATAAACGCATTGCTAGTTTTTGTTTTATATTCTTAAATTTTTTTTTTGTATCATTTGATCGGTATGCTAACAAATTGAAGTAGTAAGTCTGAAAGTAAATGGGTTAGATTATAACAAATATTCAATTGTGAAATTAGTCATCTATATAACCCTATATTTTTAAAATTGGGATTATGATATATTATACCCTTATAATTTGTTTCTAGGAATTGTGGTTGATAACGAGGAAAACAATGACTCAATATGGTTCATTTTTTAATCGTTTAAAGCAGTTCGTGGAATAAGTTTTATCGATAAATATTTTCTCAAAATATGAATTTAATTTATATTGGAATTTGAGTTTTAAGAAAAATACAAATAAAATTATAATATTTATTTATTTGTTATTGGAGTTTTAGTCCATTTGAATCTAGTGGAAAGTGGGGTAATAATTTCTGATTCCACTTTGCTCTGACTTTCGTTCTAGTAAAAAAAAGATATATATATAAAAAATTCTTAGCGCTAAAGCGCTGTTCATTATCAATGGATGCCTTTTGCTTTAAAAGCGCAAAACTGAGTGCAATTTTCAAAGTGATTTTCAACTGAGAGAAAAAAGGAACTTCATTGGAAATAACGATTCAGTACCAGTTACTCCTAAGGTCAATTGACTCATTGTTGATGAAAACATTTTGTTTTGAAACCACGGTTCAATACCGTGGTTTATAACTACAATAAACTACAAATTTTTTGCACTTCTTAAGGATTTAATTTTATTAAAGTTTAAACTAATAAAAACCGATTTGGAAGAAACTATAATATATTTTTTTAACGTAAATTACGCAGTAGCAAGTATATTTATTTGAAATCTGTGTATAATTACTTAACTACCCATCAAAAAATGCGGATTGCAGAATTGTATAGGTATGATTTTAATCAGAAAAGGAAATGAATACAGCCTATCTTAAATTGCTGCCTAATAAATAATAGCCTTATATTTTACATGTTTCGATAATGAATATCTACCATACTAATAAATAAAAAGTATTAAAAGCATGTTTAAGAATAATAATAAAAAAAGCTTAAGTAACATTGCAGATATGTTATAGTAAACGGTATTTTATACAGGGTGCGTAGAGTTTTTAAAAAGTGCTTATTTTTGATTTTCGTTTTTTAAAAGCCCTTAAAGGTGCTTTTTTCATTAGGTGTTTTTTAAAAGTGCTTAATTTTCCTTTTTTCAAAATGAGATTTTTCCTTTACCATGTAAATTATTACGCTACGAATTATGCAAAAAGACGCAGTTCACGTTGTT